TTTCAAAAATGTGTCACAATTATTTGATGAAAAATAAACTGATTGACCGCTTCCAAACCATGATAATTAAGTGCATTTGAAGGCGAATTTCTCTGTTAACCAAAAATACTAATGAAATATATATATATCACTAACCATTGTGAATGAACACTGAGGTAGACAATGAACATTCGGTACCATACTACTGACGACTGATTCATTAACAGTCTAGTTCAGCTCTACTGTACATGACTTCTAAGTAGCATTTGAGGAATTTATCTCGAAGTTACTTACTTACTTACGCCTGTTACTCCCAATGGAGCATAGGCCGACCACCAGTTTCCTCCAACCATCTCTGACCTGGGCTTCCCTTCACAGTTCTATCCCATTTTTGTTCATTCTTCTCATTTCTTTCTCTATTTCTCGGCGTATTGTGTTCCTTAGCCTTCCTCTTTTCCTTTTACCTTGAGGGTTCCAAGTGAGGGCTTGTCTTGTGACGCAGTTCGGTGCTTTTCGCAGTGTGTGTCCTATCCACTTCCACTGTTTGTGTTTGATTTCCTCCTCCACTGGAATCTGGTTTGTTTTCTCCCACAGTAGGTTGTTGCTGATCGTGTCTTGCTTTGGTAGTTTTCCGAGATTCCGCTCCATACAGTAAAACTAACAATCAATAACAACCTATAAATAAACAGCTGTTTACTAATCCGTGGATTTTAAGATTGAATAAATTCAGTTCAACTCTGAGAGTGAATGTCAATTATTGAATAGTTGAATGCTAGAAGCAAATGTTTGCCAAGTGTTCTATGGTCTATTCTAAGGTCACCTATTTATGTAAAATAATAAATATTACGAGATTCTTTTAACTCCGCCATGAGGCTCACTGGAGATACTGCCAGTCCAAAGCCTGGATAAAGGAGGAGGTGTGGGTATGGAGTTAGTCACCTCATCGTGTTGAAAACTAACTCTCTAAAATAAAGTTAACTGCACATTAAGGAAGGCATCCAACTGCATCACAAAACAATTATTGATTCAGAATCTTAAGGTCAGAGGAAATGAAGAAGTCTGAAAACACATTCCACCAAGTAATCAAGACAGACATGAGAAGAATGAACAACAGTTAGATAGAACTAGAAAGGAAAGCGGAGGACAGAATAGGTTGAAGAATACTGTTCAGCGGTCTATACTCCACTAGGAGGTAACAAGCATAAGTAAGTAAGCGATGAGATTCTTTTCATGAGTAACTCTCAAGAAGTTTTCTTACCGGGAGTCTTCAAAATCAGAAGCTTCAAACCCCAACTTGAGAATAAGGAAAAAGAATGAATAATCAAACTTTAAATTTCTTACTAACAAAATTATTTCATATGGGTGACAATAATTTGTATTTTTCACTACGATTACATTTCAGTGAAACAAACATCAAAATTCTTATCATATTGAGCAAATAAATTTATTTTGTACAAGAATACTGAATAATAATCTCAATAGGGCATAGTATTCTTCAACACTACGTTCAAAACCTATTGAATAGTGTCGAATTCTTAACTCAAACAATTTTCTTTTTACCGGCAGACGTTTAATTCATCGAAATCACGAATGAATCATTGTTTGATCATCACTAAAAACCTGGAAGCACTTCACTCCTGTTTCGTCTTGGTATGGAAGGACTCATCAGCAGCGAGCATTCACGACTCCTGCATGATTCGAATGCTTAACCTCTGGATCACTAGACTAGTATCCACCACTGTTAATGTCTAACTCTGACCAATCTAAGGATTTTGTACAACTTCAGCAGTTATCTTCGGTAGGTAACTGCTTACACCCGAGAGGGGAAAACTCCACTGGTCACGTAGATGCTCATCGCTGATGAGTCCCATACCAGGACAAAAAGGCTGTCTTTCAGTGCTTCCCTGTTTTTAATGATGGTCCACCGATGATTCATTCATGATTTCAATGTGTAATTAGAACGATCACCGTAATATTACACACATTTTAGGTATGTGAATTACGCTTGAAAATTGAACAGAAAGCGAATAAATACGCTCAAGAATTCATAGTCTATTATTGTAAACTTACGTAGGAATTTTATATACATATACATGTAGCGCCTCCACATACATTTGACTTCGTGTTGGGGATGTTAGATCTCCAGAACTCGCTTGATATAATTATCTTTATTGCGGATTTATTTCATGGACCGATCAGTTGACCTTGAGATCACATTTCCCACCAGGAAAATCCTTGGCTGTGATTGGTTACTGTGTCATTTTAGTGTGCTATTTTTGTGACTGTCCCAAGGACGTCTCTATTGAGTATAAATAAACGCAATTTGAGTGTTTGGATTCATTGTGTGCTGACTGGGCTGTGTTTGTAGAATACAATTTTCTACACTATATCAAGACTTCTTACTGATTTGATTTGGCCAAGGGATCACAGTAGCGTACATGGACTCTGGTTCATTGTTTCGTTATCGTTATTCGTCTAAGGTGAACTCGTCCTAATAGTTTAAGCATACCTAGAGACGAGCGTAACAATTCGCTTATATTTTATTTGGTTAAGCCTTTCGATTAACTTATTTAACCAAGCCACTAATATAGCAGCAACTAATATATATCATTGGTTTTTACTAGTGTCTCGTTTGTATAACTTGGTATGACTGAGCATTGCTTAACGCTTATGTGCATATTCATCCTTTTCGCTTTAATGTTAATCTCTTAAATATCTCGATGACTCGACATTTCTCTGTGTATCTATACGAACATTTTATTCTTATTAATACACTCGCCCATTCGCTCTCTAGTGTGCTTGTAGTCTGCTGGTCCATTTGTGGTGTTTCAAAAATAAACGTTTTCAACATTCGGTATTCATCTAATTCATGTTGGATACCGACCGTCACGAGACTAGTGATACACTGGCCATCATATATATATATATATATATATATATATATATATATATATATATATATATATATATATGCCCAAACATGTAGAAAAGACAGACAGACAGATACAATGCAGAACTTCGTTCGTAAGTACATCAGTTCTGGTTGCCATACCACATCAGCACAGAGACGTAACTGTCAGTTCAAATCCAACAGTGATAGCAATAAAAAAAGGATTAGCAGTAATGGAGAAGATTAGGGAGCGAAGATATGATTCGAGAAGGATAATTCAGTGCGATAAATTTAGAAGGACAAAGATAGAGATGATGACGAATTCAGAAGGTTAGAGTTTGAGAGAACACAAAGAGTAGATGCACCTGAGCCATTACAAACGATTCCAAACCATGTCGTTCAAGGTCTATAACCACCATTGGTGACTTTCGTCTCGCAGACCCCAACCAGATAGCCTACATCTACCAACATGACTCAGTGCACTTGTCAATGACTTCATGGATTTCTGTCATGTTTTGGTTTGGCCACCCCCAGATTTATTCCAACGTATTCCTACACCACGAAACAAAGCTCATGGGGGCAGTCGGTGGTTATGCATACCTAACACATGTCCCAACCACCTCAACTGATTAAGTTTCACCACTTCAACTATTGATTCGTCATCACTACCTAGAACTCGTCTCCTAACGACAGCATTGCTTATACGGTTGTTCTGTAGTGCCTCCACATTTATTTGCACCAGCTTACATTTAATTTGCTTAAGACCTTTCGATTAATTTATTTAACCAAGCCATTTGTATAGCAACAACTCATATGTACCACTGGTATTTTTTATTATCTGGTTTGTATGAGCTTGTACGACTGAGCATTGCTTATGCCTACGCCCTTACTCATCCTTTTCGCTTTAATGTTAATCTCCTAATGTCCCCACGAACTCACATGATTTGTATCGCTTGCTTTCGACCTTGTCAATCATTCGCCGCTTTTATTCATGTGTGTGCATACCTATTTCGCTTGTCATATGTCTATCTTACTTATGCCTGACTATATATTCTTAGTCATACTCTCTCTTTGAATTGGCTCTTAGCCTTTTCCAACTCGCTTCACCTATCCATTCGCTCTATTCACTGCTTCTCCGCTTCACTTTGTGGTGTGTCCCGAATAAATGTATTCATCACTTTCGTTCATCTTCTGATTTACAAACCGAGCTTAAGAACACGCAGGTGCATCGTCACACCACAGTTCCATGATACACGAGCAATGCTTCGGAGACATCGATGATTGAAGACTAGTAACCTACGAACATCTTCTACTCTTAACGGCCAAGTCTCGCAAGAAACATTGTAGTGAAGGAGAACACAGGTGAAGGCAACCGAATTGTATTTAACGAAAATTACAGAGTTAATCGGAAAAACTATATCGTAAACCGTTAATTTGCAAAATATCAATCCATTGTCTGTCATTTCACTGTTCATGCGTTTCATACAAATCCCATTATGTTCCCGCTATTCCTTTCTTGATCTTCCCCCATCTTCTGTTGCCAGACATTACGTTTACACTCACGTCATATACTACTTATAAGTAGCGCGCACCACAACATGTAGAAAAAAACGAATCAAACTAACTCTATGAAATGTTTTATTTACAATAAAATTTATTTTTTATTTTGTGTGTGTAAAAAAAAGAGAAGAAATTAGCAAATATCAAAACATCATTTATGAATAAAAACAATCCATAATAGTTTTACCAAAAGTACAAAAAGTACCAGATGAATTTTTTTTAAATAAATGCATTCATTGACTTAACTTGACTAGAAAAATGCTGAAAAGATTCTCGATGAATAAAAGGACTGACTGTCTTGTCGTAATAATAATAATTTAATTTATTAATTGAATAATTTCTATGAAGAACCTGAATTTTCAATCATGAGGATACAACAAACTGTGTATCAGAAAGAAGTTAGAAAACCCTGATGAAATTGTTATCTAACGGTTGACTATAATTTTCTAATTTTCGTTCATCCTTGTGCTAAAAGTTACGTTCTCTAAGGTGGATGTTTTGGTTGATTGACACAGTCAACGAGACTACATCACAATCATCCCCATGTATGAGCTAAAAAAATTTCCTTCAGTTATTTGTATAAATGACATTCATCATCCTCCATGGAACGTTCCATCAGTGGTGGCATTGACAATGAAGAATAGGGAATGTCTTCAGTATTCATTTGATTAAGTGTATGATGATAAATTTCATGGCATTTTGAGTTGATATCATGTGTAAATGAATTGACATTTCTATTAGATTGTTGAGTTTGAGTTGGTTTACAATGAGTTGGAATGTATATGTGACATAATGGTGTGAAGGATGTTGATGTTCGTTGTAAATAATATGAGGAGTTGTTGTTCAATGTGAAGTGTTTACTTCCTGGAGATTTGGTTCTATACGGTGAAGATTCTGTAATATCAGCTGGAAAAGATTAAGAAAGGGTAAAAACACTTCATACAATATAGCCGATGACCAAAATATCTAAACAAGACTTCGTTAAAAAAAAGTAGATATTTTGACACAATAATAAACCATGTACTTGTTAGGTCAAATGCCACGACAACGCTTCGCTTATATCATTACACACCGACAATTATGGACATACATTCGATTGGAACAATGTGGAAATACTGGATAGGGGGAGGACAAAGAACACTAGGGAAATTTTAGAAGATTGGCACTCAGGTCAATCAGCAATCAACAAACACATCGACATTGACCCAAATTATCTCAACCAATCAGGAAAATCATAGGCGAACATGGGATCAAGAAACAGATCAAAAGTGAGGGATACAATCAAAACAACAAAGGTGCAAACAACGACTGATTTAAGGTCAACAGCAACCAATCAAGATTGAGGTTAGCAGAACAAGCTACAGGTCAAATGTGGAGAAATTCCGGTGCTTCACTTCTATCTGAAGTTTGTGCTGATGATGATGTTGTTCAGTGGAAGAACAATGAAAGCTCCACAACCGAAACATTCAGCTCAGAGAGCCAAACACCACCACCACTGGTTAGGTTAAACAATTCATTACTATGTGCATCCTTTCAGGTTTTTTATAGAATAGTTAGTTCGATTAGTGAAAGTGACTTGGACAGAGTTAATACTAACTGTTACGCCTGCACGTAAACACGTCAACTTGATATATTTGAACTATTACGAGTATACCTTAGTCGGAAACGAGAGCGAGGATCCGGAGATACGACATGCTACTCAAATCCGATTATCCCAACCCCAATATTGAGTAAAAGAATACAAGACTTGATATGAAGTAGAACCTGTATTCTACAAGCATTCAGAAAGTACGAGGTCCGAGTCCAGAAGAGAATCAGGATCCTGGACTAGGGATCCGGGACCGAGCCCTGGTCATGGTCATAAAACGTTACAAATAGTGCGTATTTATACATTTTGGTCGAATGAGAAACAGCATCGTAGTCTGTGACATTGACAGTCAGGACCACCAATGAGAAATAACATTGGAGTACGTGACATTGATATCTAGGACGACCATAAAATTGACCAGTAGGAATTAACCAATATGAATTGACCAATAATTGTCTTAGGATATTGGATTAAATATCTTAACACTAACCTACGGATTCATGTTACACTAACTAAGATTGTTTCAATGTCTTGAATAGAAAACAATGCTACTTGTAGATAGATCTGTATTCGTTTCAACCAGCATCACAATCAAAACAGTAAAATCACTTGACAAATGGTTGTAAATTTCGGATTTTAATCAGACAATCGGTAATTACTGGTACAAATCATGTTAAGAGTTGAAAAATTTCGTTAACTAAGGTATAGTGACAGTGTTTTCGTTTCGTCTGATTTGTGTGAAGACATTTTCCAATACTCTAGTCACTCATAGTAGTTATTATCGGCTCGCGATTTGACTCCGATATTCAGCTTCCGTATATCATAAATAGACAAATCTTGTTTGTGCGACAGTAGTAGTAAGAAGCCAAATACGGATTCCGTTTGATGAGTTTATTTCAGACAATTGTTCATGTTTTCATTTAACCAGACGGATATGAGAATAAGGAGCGTACAAGCAGAATGATGCGAAGCAAAGTGAGGAAGGAGAGTGAGCCAACTCCTATTCGATGAAGTCATAACTCAGTTATTTCTTATTGGACAAAATAAACTGGACATGCAAAGCAGTGCACACATTTGCTCGAATACAAGCAACCAACACAAGGAAATCGTAACTCCAGAAGGATAGATTTGTCCGAAAGCTTCGTATAAGCCCAAGTGGGCTCGACTCAAAATTACACACACTATAAGTTCTTGATATAAACAACTATGAACAACTAGTTATTACAAATTTGATTTAGTCAAGTATCATATGAATCATGAAAATATACTACGTTAAACTAGTTACAACTTACATTCACTATCGATATGTCTCAAATTATTGCATATATCGTTAAAGTTGGTCGATTGTTTTGTGTACTGATCACATGATTCTAAACAAAAAGCTTCATTTGAATGACAGCCTAATAATAAAAATTGTGAAAAACCATATTTACAAAATGAATAGACAATATTTACAGAATTCATTACTATTAATATTCATCACACATTTTGAAATCATCAATCAATCATTAGTGTTAGACCAGAACCATTAGAAACCTGGAAGAAGCACTGAATGACAGCCGTTTCGTCCTGGTATGGATGGGACTACTCATCAGCAGTAACAATGATTGATTGATAATTTTTAAATGTGTTGAAGAACACAAATCTCCAAAACTCTAACTGAAAATATATCGTAACATGTGCTCACTAGTGACTAGATTCGTGAGGAAATTCTCAGAGTTCTAGTGAGAAACTGTGTGACCAATGGAGTTCATCCCTATCGGGTGTAGGCAGTAACTACCAAAGACAAGTGGTTAAGGTCGCGCGAAAATCCGCAGATCAATCAGAGTTAGACATGAACATGGTTGGATGTCGGCCCAGTGGTCCGATGGTTAGGCGGTCGCGCTCAATACCAAAGGTCCCGCGTTCGGATCCTGCGAGGTGCAGGAGTGGTGGATGCGCACTGCTACTGATGAGTCCCATACCGGGACGAAACGACCGTCATTCAGTGCTTCCAGGTTTCAAATGATTGGTCTAACAATGATCGATTCATGGTTTCAAAAAATGTAGACAGTAACTGCCGAATACTGTGTATGAGGTTGCGCAACTCCGTGAATTGGTCAAGTTAGACATTACCACCATTAGATACCGGCTCAGTGGTCCGATGGTTAGGCGTTCACGCACAATACCGAAGGTCCTGGGTTGGAATCCTGCGGGGTGCAGAAATCGTGGATGAGCACTGCTACTGATGAGTCCCGTACCAGGACGAAACGGCCGTCATTCACTGCTTCTAGGTTTCTAATGGTCCTGGTCTAACAATGATTGATTGATAATTTTAAATGTGTAAAAACACAAACCTCCAAAACTCTGCCTGAAAGCAATTCTACACTCTGTATTTGATATTCAATTTATCTGAAATAATCGAATGAAGTTTACCGAACGGAATTTCACTTTTCTTGGTGTGAACGTCATTAAACCTCCATAATTTCTATTGATTTGATGAATAGAGATGTGAAAGGGTTTTGTCTCAAAAATATAAAAATTACATTTCAACTAAGCTTTGAACCTAATATGTTTGTATATGAGTACATTGATATTAAAATGAAATGCAAAGTCATCATTCAGAAGATACAAGTGTTTATCAATAGTTATCCGTTGGCCAGACACCATCAGCAACAACCTACTGTGAGAGAGTACAAACCAAATTCCAGTAAACTAAAGAAATGAAGAAAAATCACTCGGATTGGATAGGATACACCTTAAGAAAAATGTACCCAAATATGTCATAAGACAAGGCCTCACTTATAATCCTTAAGACCAACAAACACAGTGTACGTCGAGAAATGGACGGAGATATTGTGGTGCGCGCTACTTATAAGTAGTATATGACGTGAGTGTAAACGTAATGTCTGGCAACAGAAGATGGGGGAAGATCAAGAAAAGAAGAGTGGGAACATGATGGAATTTGTATGAAACGCATGAATAGTGAAATGTCAGACAATAGATTGATGATTGATTGAAGATTTGCAAATTAACGGTTTACGATATGGTTTTCCTATTTCACTGAGTAATTCTTTAAATTTCGTTAAATACATTTCGGTTGCCCTCACCTGTGTTCTCTTTCACTACAATATGAGAAGACTGAACAACAATAGGGCAGAACTAGAAAACAAGGCCTAGGACAGAGTAGGTTTGGAGAATGCTAGTCAGTGGCCTATGCTGCATTGGAGCTAACAGCTGTAAGTTAGTAAGCAAGCAAACAAAGAGACTACTAATCAGTTATTTGGAAATATATATATATTTTTTATTAAAATGTTGAATACTACTGAGATTGTTGTCGATTATAGAACCAAATCTGAACTAATCTCTTGATTGAAAATAAACCAAATCAAAGTCTGATTAACACACACAGTTTCAGCCGGTTAATTTTTTTGTCAGTCAGATTGAAAGATCACAACAAATCACTCATCTCACGACAATGTCATTAGTTTTGTACAAATTTTAAAAAATTCCACTTTATCTGAACAAACATTTTGATTATTTATCATGAGGAAATAAAAATTATTTCTAACTGAAACACTTACCTGAAATTGTTGTTTCATTCCATTGATTAGGATGATCTCTTCGATATTGTGAACTGCCACGAAAATTCGGTGAACTAATTTTGTGCAGAATAATCAAATGAGAAAAAACACACTCATTATTCAACACAAATATTGATACACGATAAAAATGAGTTTTTTCAGTTAGAATTTTGGAGATTTGTGTTTTCACATATTTAAAATCATCAATCTTGTTAGACTACCATTAGAAACCCGGAAGCACTGAATGACGCCCGTTTCGTCTTGGTATGGGACTCATCAGTAGCAGTGCGCATCCACCACTCCTGCACCTCGCAGGATCCGAACGCGGGACCTTTGGTATTGAGCGCGACCGCCTAACCATCGGACCACTGGGCCGACATCCAACCATGTTCATGTCTAACTCTGATTGATCTGCGGATTTTCGCGCGACCTTAACCACTTGTCTTTGGTAGTTACTGCCTACACCCGATAGGGATGAACTCCATTGGTCACACAGTTTCTCACTAGAACTCTGAGAATTTCCTCACGAATCTAGTCACTAGTGAGCACATGTTACGATATATTTTCAGTTAGAGTTTTGGAGATTTGTGTTCTTCAACACATTTAAAAATTATCAATCAATCATTGTTAGACCAGCACCATTAGAAACCTGGAAGAAGCATTGAATAACGGCCGTTTCGTCATGGTATGCATGGGACTCATCAGCAGTTTGTGAAGAGATGTCTATAGAACGGTGTGTGTGTGTACAGCAAAATTAGTGAAGAAAAAAATTCTAGAACACGACCTCGAATGGCTTCTCTTCTGTACCAACATGTCTGACAACGTCTCAAGCCACTCAGTTATACAATATCTAGAGCCCATATTTAGGGAGTTGTTAAAGACAAACAAATGTCAGCCCTGTACAATGTTTTTACATGCCACCACATCACGTTATACACTGACTAACTTTCCAATTTTTCTCAACATGTGACATTCCATTGCATACGGTACATTTATAGTGACACATGAACAACTTTGACTTAATAATCTTGATATTTATGTAAATGTTAATGTTTCTCGTGAATTGTTATAAATATTACTGACATTTTATTGAAATGCAAATGTTGTTTCAACTTCATAAATGACGTCAATAAAGTTATTTTTTTGTTGGTGACTTGGTGAAAATTTTTTTTTAAATGATACAATATCTGTACAACTTAGTCACCAATAAATTTGCCCTCAGGAAATGATAGTCTGTGGTGGATGTTGGCTCACCAGTTCTCAGGCGGTCAGTATTCGATATACTTCCTAAGCTTCGTCTACTAAACGTGCATAAATCAGAAGACGACGTATACGAAGCGTTGAATGCGTTTATTGTCACACCACAAACAGACCACCGAAACCACAGGTATACGAAGGGAAAATGATATTCGAGAGCGGTAGAGAGCGAGCGAATGAGTGAGTTAATGAACAAGATTAAAATGTGCATATTTATATATATATGAAAATCAACAAGTCATTGAAATAGTTAAGAAGTTAACATGAAAGCGAATAAAATGAATATTTACGTAGGCAGTAAGTAATTTTCAGTCATACCTGCCTATACATTTAAATGTGTTGAATAACAATGGCCAAATAATAAAGTTAGATAATCGTATCAATTGAAATCATGAATTAGTCCTTGTTAGATCATCATTTGAAACCTGGAAGCACTGAAAGATGGCCGTTTCGTCCTGGTATGGGACTCATCAGTAGCAGTGCGCATCTACGACTACTGCCACTCGTAATATTCGAGCCCAGGAAGTTCGGTCTTGCCTAGCTTTTAGGCCACAGAGCCAGGCAGCACCCAATCGTGTTAATGTCTAACTCTGATCAGTCTAAGGATTTTTGACAAACCTCACCGATTGTCTTCGATAGTTGGGTTGATGATGATGATGATGAAGTTAGCCTACCCTATCCTGTAGAAATCCAACTCGCTAAAAACACGCTAACCAGAAAAATAATTCGTTAGTCCGCGACCTATGATCCAGTAACTGTAGCAGCACTATTTACCTACATTTACTTGCTAGATCAAGTTGGAATAATGAACCGTTGGCATGAAATAAATGCTATTGATTGGGGGTGCAACCCAATTATCTGGGGGACTTATGTATACGTTTGAGCGAAATTTCCGTTCAATTTGCAAATAACAACCTCCCAATCATTCGTCAGTTTTCTCAATCAAGCAAAAAGTTGAATTTATGTATTAAAAGTACACATTCTCAGCACCAGAATCACATGACCGTTCAATGCAGCCCGTTGATAAACTTTTCGATTAACTCTAGAATTCACGTTTTTTTAACTCAGGTAATGTGATCACATGGAGACATGTCTTTGTCCAAATGTTTCCACACATAAGAATTTCACAATGTTTCGAATTCTTTGAAAAAACTATGGCAACAGTATACTTCTTTGCTCTGAAAAACTTTCACTGATTTAAAAACGACGGACGGTCTAATACAAAATATCAAACAGCTTTAATCACCTGGCTCTTCTATCTCACAGGCAACAACAAATGCAAGAGAAGACGACCAGTGTAGCGGCAGCCTCTGCAGCAGTAGGTCTCAACATACCTAAAGGAAAAGGCAAAATTCTCCGATGCAACACAACATGTACCAACCGAATCACTCTTGAAGGAGATGTCTTGGAGGACGTTAACACATCAACATATCTGGGCAGCATCATCGACAATCAAGGTGGATCCGATAAAGATGTGAGGGTGCGGATTGGCGAAGAAAGGGCTGCATTTCTACAGTTGAAAAATATCTGCAACTCCAAACAACTTTCAACCAAAAACAAAATCAGCATTTTCAATACAAATTTAAGGACAGTTCTACTGTATAGAGTGGAAACTTGGAAAACTACCAAAGCCATCATCCAGAAGATACAAGCACTTATCAACAGTTGTCTACGCAAAATACTTCGTATTCGTTGGCCAGGCACCATCAGCAACAACGTACTGTGGCAGAAAACAAACCAGATTCCAGTGGAGTAGGAAATCAGGAAGAAGCGGCGGAAGTGGATAGCACACACTACGAAAAGCATCGAACTGCGTCACGAGACAAGTCCTCACATGCAACTCTCAAGGCAAAAGGAAAAGAGGAAGGCCAAGGAACACATTACACCGAGAAATATAGAAAGATATGAGAAGAATGAGCAAAAATGGGATAGAACTGTAAAGGGAAGCCCAGCTCACAGTCTTTTGGAGAAAACTGGTGGTTGGCCTATGCTCCATTGGGAGTAACAGGCGTCAGTAAGTAAGTAAGTAAGCAATCAAGAAACAGACTGATATTGACAAACATAGGAAAAGAGGAAGGCCAAAGAATACATTACGCCGATAAATAGAGAAAGATATGAGAGGAATGAACAAACATTGGGCAGAACTGTAGAGGGAAGCCCAGGATAGAGTTGGTTTGCGAAAACTGGTTGGCGGCCTATGCTCCATCGGGCTGTGTAACAGGCGTAAGTAAGTAAGTATATAACACAAAATAATCTTTTAGTTTGAATGTCAATCTTATCACAGTACAACAAGTATGTTTGTTTTTTGCACGTACTTGAGATTCTCCAATGAAATGACATCAGATTCCGAAAGCAATGAACTTGTATTACCAAGAGTTAAATGTTTCCGTATTAATTCATTATAATCGATAGGCGTTTCGACAAAATCTCTTTTACCAAAATAATGACGTTTATGATCTGTAATGAGAAGAATGAATAGTTTATATAGGTATAAAATCTGATCTGTTTATCGAATAACACACAAAATCACACTCTATTGAGTTCTGACTATTCTGTCAATCAGTCAATCAGTCGGTACACTAAAACTGTCATGACTATACAGCGAAGAAATTAATGAGCATAGTTTGAATGTGTCCTTGAGTAGGAGTTTCAGAGATCCGCATGTTGTTGGATTCCTAAATAAAAATTATATTTCACAATATTTCTTTCACAAACCGATTACATAGACATTCACAGAACAATGAAAAGACGTAATTTGATCTGAAAAATATATTATGATGTATGTGCGCACTATTCATTTCGAACAATGTGGTCACAACAAATGTATACACTTGTCAAGGCATTTTGATATGAAGATTAATAAAAGGTCAATGAAATAAAAGTTCAAATAGACATAGGGTGATTATTGTGAATAAAGGAGAGAGAAAATTAACGTAATATGAAAAGAATAATAAGAGGGGTAGGAAAATTGTCACATTACCCTAGGCTTAAAGATTACCAAGGTAAATTCAAGGTTTTAATTTTCTAATAGCCAAGGCCTCCATCAACCTCAAAATTCGTGTCCTTCAACATTTCTATACAATGTTTTGAAGGCTGTCTTCATGTCAATCCTATGCCCTGTCTCAATTATGTGTTTTGCGATCGATGAATATGCTTTTCTGTTTCCCACGTTTATCGAGTCATCTGAAGTCAGCTGATTTTGAAGCCACTTAGGTACATGTGTTCCATAACCCTTGATAGCAAAGTTCGATTAGTCCTCCATATGTGTAGTGTATCCACACAAACATGTAAATTCAATAAGAATGTTCAAAATGTATAGTGAGAATACATCAAATTACAAGTCAGTCACGAAATGTCAATGTTGGGGTTGGTGAAGATTTTTGGATGACTGAAAAAATGTGTAGATCAAGTGAATGATTATGATGTGGTTTCGTTCTCTGAGATGATTGTTTTGGTTGTGGAGTATTCATCTTTCATTACTTCTGAACGCAACATGATCACTAAATACTTTGGGTAGAAGAAGTGAATGTATTCGAATTTCTTCACATGTATAGCTAGTAGCCTGTTCTGTTAACCTCAGTCTTGACTGGTTGCTGTTGAACTTAAGCCTGTCATTCTTCGCACCTGTATTTTGATTGTACTCTGCTTTGATCTGTTTCTTGATCCTATGTTTGTCAATGTCAGTCTGTTTGTTGAGTGATCACTTACTTACTTACTTACGCCTGCTACCCCTAATCGAGCATAGGCCGCTCCCCAGTTTTCTCCAACCAACTCTGTCCTGCGCTTTCCTTTCCGATTCTGTCCAATTTTTGTTCATTCCTCTCATATCTTTCTCTATTTCTCGGCGTAATGTGTTCCTTAGCCTTCCTGCTTTCCTTTTGCCTTGAGGGTTCCATGTGAGAGCTTGTCTTGTGACTTAGTTCGGTGCTTTCCGTAATGTGTGTCCTATCCACTTCCACCACTTCTTCCTCATTTCCTCCTCCACTCGAATCTGGTTTGTTTTCTGCCACAGTACGTTGTTGCTGATAGTGTCTGACCAACGAATCCGAAGTATTTTGTGTAGACAACTGTTAATGAACACTATTCTCTTCTGGATGATGGCTTTGGTAGTTCTCCAAGTTTCCGCTGCATATAGTAGAACTGTCTTCACATTTGTATTGAAAATGCTGATTTTGGTTTTGGTTGAAAGTAGTTTTGAGTTGCAGATATTTTTCAACTGTAGAAATCCAGCCCTTGCTTTGCCAATCCGCGTCCTCACATCTGCATCGGATCCACCTTGATTGTCAATGCTGCTGCCCAGATTTGCTGATTGCTGATTGACCTTAATGCCACGCTTTTGAAAATTCTCTAGTGTTCTCTATGCAGTATTTCAATAAGCTGTTGGTCATACGCGACGAAATTCGAATGCTTCACTTCTATCCGAAGTTTTTGCTAATGATGATATTGATCGAACGAACAATCAAAGCTCCACAACTGAAGGATTCAGTTGTGAGAATGAAACTCTACCACAATCATCCACCTGAGCTATAAATTTTCTCCATGATCGCTAAATAGTTTCAAATGATGATACTTAGTGTAAATATAATCTATTGGTCTTTCTTACAATTACGCAAGTCACATTAAACTTACAATGCATAACCTTGGATGAGGTCACATAAAATCGCTAGATTGATTAGAGTTAAACATTAACACCGTTAGATGCCAGCCCAGTGGTCCAGTGATCAGGCGTTCTCGCACAAAACCGAAGGGACTAGGTTCGAATTCTTCAAGTGGCAGGAGTAGTGGATACGCACTGCTACTGATGAGTCCCATTCCAGGGCAAAACGACTGTCTTTCAGTGCTTCCAGATTTCTAGCAGTGGTCTAACAATGATTCACGCATTATTTCAATGTGTAAAAACACTGAGCACCATCATGCAAACTGAAAAAATAATCATTTCCACTCAACAGTGCGTATTGGTTAAATGTATTACTAATTTGAAAACGAAACTATCCCATACTTTGGTAAATAAAAACAGTTTGATATTTTTTCCTACTTTTCACAGTCAAGATAATCAATATTTATCCTGCTGAGTTTCAGCAAAACCATCATAGTGTCATGTTTGATGACATTTCACTTGAAAATAAGTCATCAGGTCAACAATATACAAACACCATTATTAGCTGTGTATTTTAAAAAAGGGGAGAGAGTGAATTCCAATGTTAAAAAAAACAATGAAAACATGATTTGTTGACGACATAAGTTTCTGTTGAAAATGTTATCTAGGATTAATTCTCGATAAGTCATTCATTTACAAACTACATAGTAGGCAGGTAATGATGAGTTTTTCATGACATTATATTATTATAATGATGTATACATATATTTTGTTACGCCTGCACGTAAACACGTCAACTTGATACGCTTCAACTATTTCGAGTTTACCTAGTCGGAAAATGAAAGCGAGGATCCGGTGACACGACATACTACTCAAATCCGATTATTACAACCCCCACATCGAGTAAAAATAAGAAGACTTGATATGAAGTAGAACATGTATCCCGCAAGCATCCAGAAAGTACGAGGTCCGAGTCCAGAAGAGAATCAGGATTCCGGACTAGGGATCCGGGACCGAGCCCTGGTCCTTGTCCTGGCCATAAAATGTTACAGATAATGCGTATTTATCCATTTTGGTCGAATAGCAAACAGCATCGAATTCTGTGGCATTGACAGTTAAGACGACCAATAGGAAGTAACATTTGAATTGACATTGATAGTCCGGATGACCAATAAGAGACAAGATTGAAGTATTTGACTTTGACAGTTATAACGACCATAATTTTGACCAATAGAAATCAACCAATAGGAAATGACCAATAATGCTCTTAGGATATTGGATGAATATCCTGAAATATTTCGATCATTTGAGTGATAGACTGTTCTACGTAGATGGTCTTCTATGATTCCAAAGCGTTTGTGCGTTGAATCATTGACACAAATTCTTGATGAAAGTATTCATTAATATTTTCAGTTTTCGAATCAGTAACAGTATACAATTGAGATTGTGTTTGGGCATGATTGTTTAAAAAAATTTTGCAAATAATAAGTGTGAGTCAGTCAGACAGTCAGATGCAACGAAGAACTTCGTACGCAAGTACATCAGTTCATGTTGCCATACCACATCAACACAGAGATGTAATGGTCAATTCGAATCCGATAGTAGAAGAGGTAGTAAGGGAATTAGAAGTAATCGGAGAGGTTAGGATTAGAAGATACTATTCAAGAAGTATGATTCAGTGAGAAAAGTTTAGAAAGTCAAAACTAGAGGTGTTGAAGAATCCAGAAGATTAGGATTTGAGAGAACACAAACAATAAATGCACTGGCGCCATTGCGAACGATTTTGAGCCATGTCATTCAAGGTCTCTAACCATCGATTATTATCATCTCGCGGAAACCAACCAGGTAGTCGACAATTACCGACATGGCTAAGTCCCCTCATCAATGACTTCATGTATTTCTGCCATGTTTTGGTTTGGCCGCCCCTAACTTTCTTCCAACCTATTCCTACACTACAAAACAAAGCTCGTCGAGGCAGTCGGTGATTAGGCATACGCAGCACATGTTCCAACTACCTCAACTGATGAAGTCTCATTACTTCATCTATTGATCCTCCATTATTACCTAGCACCCGATTCCTAATAACAGCATTGCTCACTCGGGTGTCCCACAATATACGAGCAATGCTTCGAAAATACCTATGATCAATAACAAGAAACCTACGAATATCTTCTACTCTCACTGGCCATGTTTTACAGCCATATAGTAGGCCGGAGCGAACTACTGTACAGTACACTCGTCCTTTAGTCAGCAAACAGATATCTCGCCTATGCCATAAGTGACGCAGGTTGGCAAAAGCCAATCGAGCCTTCTGTATCCGTGCTGAGATTTCGTCAGTCACCAGGCCATCGGCACTGATGAGACTTCCCAGATAAGTGACGCGGTCTACACGCTCGACTACTTCACTCCCTATCACTAGTTCACTGGCACGTTAGAACCTTCAGGAACATATGTTCCAGCCAATATAGCTCGGTTGGGTTATCACGATAGGGAAGCACGACCTCCACGTCAAGGTAGCAGCTACGGTCGGGAAGTAAGTGTGAGTATTTTCAACTGAATTTTTTTTGGCGATAACGAATAGAAATTCAAAACAATTAGTCCCTTTTATAAATTTTGATAGAACAGTGAGAAGACGTAATTGATCTGAAAAATGTTATGAGGTATTTGCGCCTCATACATTTCGAACAATCTGGTCACACTCATATACACTTGTCAAGGCATTTTGATATGAAGATGAATAAAAGGTCAATTAAATAAAAGTTCAAATAGATATAGGGTGATTGATAATTGTAAATAAAGGAGAGAGAAAATTAACGTAATATGAAAAGAATAATAAGAGGGGTAGGAAAATTGTCACATTACCCTAGGCTTAAAGAATACCAAGGTAAATTCAAGGTTTTAATTTTCTAATAGCCAAGGCCTCCATAAACCTCAAAATTCGTGTCCTTCAACATTTCTATACAATGTTTTGAAGGCTATTTTGATGTCAATCCTATGTGTTTTACGATCGATGAACATGGTTTTCTATTCCCAACGCTAATCGGCTCATATGACGTTAACTGATTTTGAAGCCACTAAGGTACATGTTCCATAACCCTTGATTGCAAAGTCCCATTACTCCTCCCTATGTATGTGTGTCCACACAAACATGTAAATTGATAAATCCAATGGGATGTGATGTAATCATCGATCGAGCAACTTTTAGGTCCATGTGGAATCATGGACTTGGTATTTTCAATGAATAATCAGTTGTTGTATGTTTTCTCTATGGCTGCTTTTAGTCTCTTTCTTAATATTAGACCATTTGCAACACCTCTAAATGTGTAAAGTGATATAGAAACCTTTTTTCTTCTCAGCAAAATGAAAAAACTTGCTTTTGTCTTACTTAGCTGATCTCTACACCGAATTGATAAACTTTAGGCGGATAATATAGCCATTTGAAATCAATACTTCTCAGTTAAGAATTTTTTACATCATCGTCACTCAAAAAAAATTTTTATTTAAATTGTATCAACTTGACTTACATCGTCCCAATGGTGTTTTTTTTAATGATGTTTGATCAGAATAATTTTTAATTTTGCGTAACAAAAACTCATGACCGTTTTGTTTGTTATCTAAGCGCCAATTCATATCTAACATTGAATGTATAGGTTTGCGTAATTTATTCATAATACGTAAATTTTTTAAATGGATCTCTTTATTTCGCATTGTCCATAAACGTAACTATTGAAGAAAGGAAAAACAGATTACTGAATACAAATCAATACATACTACTGAATATGAGTAGTGTGATTGAAAGAAAGCATAAAATGCCTACAACACAGGTAATTTTCAAGAGTTATTTCATTAAGATAGTATTGTAGAGGAATTGTTCTTAAGGTCCTCAAAGTCAAATTAGTTCATATATACCAGGAATTTGCAAACACTCCTATCAAACAAAATTCTTGTCTAACGAATGTGCATGAGGAAGCATTGAAGGAACTTAAGAACAATTCCACAATAACAATCTCCAAACCAGACAAAGGTTTCGGTGTAGTAGTCATGAATAAGGATGACTACATAACGAAAATGAACGTGATCCTCTCAGATTCTGTTAATTTTAAATCAGATTCGCAGATCAATAACGTGAATTTGGTCGAAAAACAGATATGCCGAGAACTACATCTACTCATGCTTCATGGTTTTATCAACGAGGCCCATTATAAAATGCTCAAGCCCATTGGTACATGCACACCACAAATGTATGGCTTACCGAAACTACACAAGCATACAACACCTATGAGATCAATTTTGTCCATGATAAATTCACCATACCATAAGCTAGCAAAGTGGCTGAAAGAAATTTTGGATACTGTTTGTAAACAACTGTCGACACATACTATCCTCGATTCCTTTGAACTTCTCCCAACCTTGGAACACTTGAATATTTCTAATAGTCGGATGTGTTCTTTCGATGTAAAATCTTTATTCACAAACGTAGATCTCGAAGAAACTGTGGAATTTATTTGTGACTTCAAAACTTCACACAACATAAGAATACCCATTCCGACTACCTATCTTCGAGATCTAATTTTACTGTGCCCAAAGAATTTAAAATTCTATTTCCAAGGTAAAGCATATACACAAATCGATGTAGTGGCAATGGGAAGCCCTCTCGGACCTGTTTTAGCAAACATATTCATGGAAATGATAAAAAGGCAAGTGAGTCACTTCATCGATGGTATTACACTTTACAAACTATATGTCCACGATATTCTTGTCATATTACCACATTCTACAGATATTAATGAGATCAATGATTTATTTAATGCGATTTACCCGAATCTGAAAGTCACTTATGAGGAAGAAAAGAATAATGAACTAGCTTTCCTCGATATCCTGCTCCATCGCCGTCCAGACGGATCAATCAGACGAAAAGTACACCGTAAACCCACCTGGTCGGGACAGTACCTCCACTTCACTAGTTTCTGTCACCCGTACAATATAAACGTTCTGTTGTCAAAACTTTATTCGCTCGAGCAAGTAGAATCTGCACTGCTGATACATTGAACGACGAATTCAAACTTATTACTGAGACACTTAAATCAAATGGATATCCCAAAACGTTTATTGGTCATCAGAACACAACTACAACGAAACTGATAGCAACTGATGTGCCCAAGAAACCAGTGTACCTACAGTTACCTTTCAAGGCTGATCATTGCATGAAAATTACAACCAAACAGACAGCAGCTGCAATAAAAAAGAACTTCAATTCAGCTAATCTGAGGCTAATCACAACAACTCAATCGATCTCAGTTGCCCCAATCAAGTCTCCAATACCGATTCAGTCCAAATCCCACTGTATTTACCAATTCACATGTAACTGCGGAGAAAGTTACTCAGGGAGGACAGATCGCCGATTGGAAGACAGGATAGGAGAACATATTCCAAAATGGTTAATCAAATCCATGATTCATCCACCACCTAGCCCGTCACCTCAAAATCGATCAAGAAACCCAGCCTCGTCCATTGCAAAACATCTAATGATGAGTGGTCATCAAATTCACCCAAAATCAGCCTTTCAGAGTTGTGACATGTAATCAAAACCCACACACACTGAAACTACTTGAAGCTATCTTGATTGGTTGGAAAAGTCCAACTTGATGTGTTCAAAAACAACTGTATGTTGACCTTTGTTTACCATGGTTCTTCTAGTGAGTGAATGTCATGCTAAATAAGAAATTTTGACCTTATCTTCAAAACTGTATTTACACAAATGACATGTTGCTTGTATGTGACTGACTAGAAAGCACGAAATGGTACTATCTTACAAAATATGTCTTCTCATTTCTCTGTTCAAATATTGTAGAGATTGTTAAATTTCACTCAAATCATTATATGATAAATGTCAGACTATCATTTGAAACGTAGAAGCATTGAACAACCGTTTCCGAGGAGACAATCGATGAGGACAAAATGGAGTAGGACATCAGTACTGTTAAATACAAATACCCAAGAACCCACAGAATAAACTACATACAAACTTTGTTCAAGAGAGCGAAGACACACTGCAGTACATACGAAGCACTAAAAAACGAGGAAAAACACCTAGTAACTATCTTCCAAAAGAACGGCTATCCACGCAACTTCATCACAAAACATCAACCGAAACCATCATCAGAAGCGAAATCAAGCACAGGAACAAATAAACGGTTCATCCTGCCATACATCAAAGACATATCGGAGCATACAGCACGACTACTGAAACAATTTGAAATAGGTGTGGAACACAAACCAACAGAATCACTTCAATCAATCCGATGTAGACTAAAGGACAAAATGACAAATGAAGAAAAACCAAATATCATCTACAAAATAAACAATTGCTCAGACTGTGAAAAACACTACATAGGACAAAGTGGACAGCCTCTTCAACTTCGTCTATGTGAACATCAATTAGCAGTCAAATGTCACGAGAACGCTTCGCTTATATCAATACACACCGACAATTATGGACATACATTCGATTGGAACAATGTGTAAATACTGGGTAGAGGGAGGACAAAGAACACTAAGGAAATTTTAGAAGCTTGGCACTCAGTTCAATCAGCAATCAACAAACACATCGACATTGACCCAAATTATCTCAACCAATCAGGAAAATCATAGGCGAACATGGGATCAAGAAACAGATCAAAAGTGGGGGATGCAATCAAAACAACAAAGGTGCAAACAACGACAGGTTTAAGGGCAACAGCAACCAATCAAGATCGAGGTTAGCAGAACAAGCTACACGTCAAACGCGGAGAAATTCGTATGCCTCACTTCTATCTGAAGTTTCTGCTGATGATGTTGTTGTGTTCAGTGGAAGAACAATGAAAGCTCCACAACCAAAACACCCAGCTCAGAGAACCAAATACCACCACCACTGTTAAATACCAACTGAGGGGTTTATAGGTTAGGCGTTCGTACGCCAAACCGAAGGTCCCTGTGTCAGGCTTCCACTCACGACGGTTGTACACTCATAGTAAGGATGGGTTCCATACCAGAATGGTATATGTATGTGAGTATACTTGAATATGCTTAACTTATGTCCGATAGGCTATGAAAGAGCCATAGTTAGAATGCTATTGAACAATGTACTCAGCTTCATTTCTGAGGTTAGAAATGAGGGTTAAGTACCTGATAACAGTTTTGCATAAAAAAATTCATTGCCTAACGCCTAAAAATTTGACTTCAAGTGCTATGAAAACAAAAGGGAAGATTATTTTTAAACCAAAGAGGAAGCTAGTATCTTTATGCTAAATGAAGTGCTTATCAAAACAGCTAAATGCGCGCACGTCGATGCCCTCATTTGTGTTAACCCAGCTGGTATTCACGCGCTAAAACACATACTTCACATCATACCGATCAAATAGACAGAAGTAATTACTCCTTCACTCACTCACTCACTCACTCACTCACTAGTGAACAGTAGACATAATGTTGATGTTTTAAAATCATTCCGACTAATCAATACATCAAATCTAAACGATAACATCTGTCCATCATGTTTTAAAATAGTTACATTATTTTTTTTTTCGAAGGACAAAACCGTTAGCTAAGAATTATTTTTTCCATGACCTTCATTGTCCATTGGAATAAGTTATTTCAATCTACTAGTGAGTTTTATGCAACTAGTCTTCATTTCTTTAGAGAGTGTTAATTACACATAATCATTGGTATAAATCTTTCATTTTACGAAGAAAAAAGCAATGTTGTTTTGCAAAAAACAATTTATATCAGTAAATAACTACATTACGGGGTTGTGAAGATTGGTAAGTTACACATTTTTGAAACCATGAATCGATCAATGTTAGACCACCATTAGAAACCTGGAAGAAGCACTGGTAGACGCAGTTTCGTCCTGGTATGAGACACCTCAGCAGTGCGCATCCACGATTCCTGCACCCTACAGGATTCCAACCCAGGACCTTCGATATTGTGCAAGAACCCCTAACCATTGGACCACTGAGCCGGTATCTAACGGTGTTAATGTCTAACTTGATCAATTCATGGAGTTGTGCAACCTCATACACAGTCTTCGGCAGTAGTTACTGTCTACACCCGAACAGATTGAACTTCACTGGTCACATCTTCTCCACTAGAACTCGGAGAAGATTCTTCACGAAGCTAGTGACTAGTGAGCACAGGTAATTTGCATTACGGGGTTGTTGTGAAGATTGTTAAGTTACACATTTTTGAAACCATAAAAATCGATCAATGTTAGACCACCATTAGAAACCTGGAAGCAGGAGTCTCATACCAGGACGAGACGGCCGTCTTTCAGTGCTTCCAGGTTTCTAATGGTGGTCTAACATTGATCGATTCATGGTTTCAAAAATTAGTAAGTAAAAATAGTTAGCCAGTTGTTAATTATTCTACATAGTTGCGTGTTAAAACTCAAAATGATGTCTTCACATAAATTAGCCAAACTTAGTTATTTTTAGCTGCTTATTTTTGTCATTATAACTGCGTTGTAAGCAGACAAGTTTATCAGAAATTTTTTAGGGAAAATGCCTTCCTATTTTTGACAATGAGTAGTCTAAACTAATAGATTTTTTAATGTTGAGACAAAGAGAAAAGATCATCCCGATGTGTTTCTAAAATTTTGGACTGTTGTTTAAGATTTCCATTTGGTCATTGTGGTGTTTATTATGCACAGATTACAATAAATCAAATGTCAATCAGCTGATCTGTTTATTTGTAAAAAAGAAAGCTTACTATTACAACTTCGTTTTGATCTCACTGGTTGTAAACATTGGCGTAAAGCAATGTACTTATAACCGATAATCCAGTGTTTTGATAAGAGAATTTTTGAAAATAAGAATGGTTATATCTTGTTGATTGAGTGACCCATCAGTGCTGATGGCCTGGTGACTGACGAAATCTCGGCACGGATACAGAAGGCTCGATTGGCTTTTGCCAACCTGCGTCACTTATGGCGTAGGCGAGATATCCGTTCGCTGACTAAAGGACGAGTGTACTGCGCAGTGGTTCGTTCCGTCTTACTTTATGGCTGTGAAACATGGCCAATGAGAGTAGAAGATATTTGTCGGTTATTGGTTTTCAATCATAGGTGTCTTCGAAGCATTGCTCGTATATCGTGGGACACCCGAGTGAGCAACGCTGTTATTAGGAAACGAGTACTAGGTAAGAATGGCAGATCAATCGATGAAGTGGTGAAACTTCATCAGTTGAGGTGGTTGGGACACGTGTTGCTTATGCCTAACCACCGACTGCCTCGTCGAGCTTTGTTTTGTAGTGTAGGAATAGGTTGGAAGAAAGTTAGGGGCGGCCAGACCAAAACATGGCAGAAATACATGAAGTCATTGATGAGTGGACTTAGCCATGTCGGTAATTGTCGACTACCTGGTTGGGGTCCGCGAGATGATAATAATCGATGGTTAGAGACCTTGAATGACATGGCTCAAAATCGTTCGCAATGGCGCCAGTGCATTTATTCTTTGTGTTCTCTCAAATCCTAATCTTCTGGGTTCTTCAACAACTCTAGTTTTTAATTTCTAGACTTTTCTCACTGAATCATACTTCGTGAATAATAATTCTAACCTCTCCGATTACTTCTAATACCCTTACTACCTCTACTACTATTGGATTTGAATTGACAATTATATCTCTGTGCTGATGTGGTATGGCGACATGAACTGATGTACTTACGTACGAAGTTCTACGTTGCAACTGACTGACTGACTGATTGAGTGACCAATATTGTTATCATCAGAGATAAGAGATTTTGTGGTGGTGTTGCGTTCTCTGAGTTGGGTATGTTTTGGTTGTGGAGTTTTCATTGTTCTTCTACTGAACAACATCATCACCATAAACTTCGGATAGTAGAGGTGAAGTATTCGAGTTTCTCGACGTTTGACCCGTAGTTACGAGTCTGAAGTTTATGCTGATGATGTTGTTCGGAGGAACAATGAAAGCTGCACAACCACGCATCCACAGCTCAGAGAACGAAACACTACCACAATCATCCACCTGAGTCACAAATGTTCTCCACCATCTCATAAGAGATTTTGTGTTTATTGTCAGGAAACTCTCATACGGAATTCTTATGATGGATTCAACTGCAAAATCGTGAACGGAGGGCAGCTGATAGACTCGTTTGAGGTGAAGACCGGTATGAGGAGAGGTTGCTTACTCTCACACTTTCTCTTACTCCTGGTCATCGACTGGATTATGAAGACGTCGACATCTGGAAGGAAGCATGGTATCAAATGGACAGCCACGATGCAGCTGGACGATCTGGACATCGCAGGTGACTTGGCTCTTGTATCGCACACACAACAACAAATGCAAGAAGAGATGACCAGTGTAGCAGCAGCCTCTGCAGCAGCAGAGGAACGGAAAAGTCTCCGATGCAACACAACATGCACCAACCAAATCACTCACTCTTGATGGAGATGCCTTGGAGGACGTTAACAGCTCTACATATCTGGGAAGCATCATCGATAATCAAGGTGGATCCGATGCAGATGTGAGTGCGCGGATTGGCAAAGCAAGGGCTGCATTTCTACAGTTGAAAAATATCTGCAACTCCAAACAACTTTCAACCAAAATCAAAATCACGATTTTCAATACAAATGTGAAGACAGTTCTACTGTATGGAGCGAAAACTTAGAGGACTACGAAGGGCGTCATCCAGAAGATACAAGTATTTATGAACAGTTGTCTACGCAAAATACTTTGGATTCGTTGGCCAGATATGATCAGCAACAACGAACTGTGGGATAGAACAAAACAGATTTGAGTGTAGGAGGAAATCAGGAAGAAGCGGTGGAAATGGATAGGACACACACTACGAAAAGCACCCAACTGCGTCACGAGACAAGCCCTCACATAGAACCCTCATGGCAAAGGAAAAGAGGAAGGCTAAGGAACACATTACGCCGAGAAATAGAGAAAGATATGAGAGGAATGAACAAACATTGGACAGAACTGGAGAGGGAAGCCCCGGCCTGAGTTGGTTGGAGAAAACTGGTGGGCGGCCTATGCTCCATTGGGTTGGGGTAACAGGCGTAAGTAAGTAAGTCAGGAAACTTAACGTGATCAAAAGCACATTGTTTCATTATACGTTGTGACTGAATATCAAGATGATCCTTCAAGCTGATAGCATAAAACGTATTTCATTTCAGAATGAATAAAAAAACTTTCTATACTTACATTAGCCACTAAATTCAACGTACTTTCTCCATAAGTTCGAACTGGTAATTTTGGCGGTTCATTCGAATGTTTCATTTTAACCACTGAATGTGTTGAATATTGATCAGAGATGACATCTTGAAAAAAACATTGATTATCATATGAATATAAACTACATGTAGAATAGTTTTTATTCAATGATCGATAATCAACTTTTTTATTGATTGGTTGGTGACTTTTATCCGATCTCAATTTGATTAATTCACAATAGACATGTGCATCGGAGACAATGGAATCCTGGAAAAGAAATTTAATTTTTTAAACAAAAACGATAATAAAAATTGATCATTGAATGAGGACTTTTCGCGACATCGATTTATTTTGTGAGTCTAAAGTTTTTCATCGCACTAATTATTTTCTTTTACGAGTGTTGTAGTGTTCACTGGTGGGGGGGGGGTCGGTAAATCTTACAGAAGGTAAGATAGTCATCGTCGCTTGTTAGTCGTTACTGTGTATTGCTAAAAGGGAAATCTGAAGTATCGAATCTCGGAAAACTATTATTTGGACTAAGTTTTTGTCGTGAGGGCAGAAGGTACAAGTTTCGATCCTTGGTGAGGTTGTGGTTAAAAACTGAAGACTATCATCAGCAGCTGATAAGCACAAAATATATCAGTAAGATTTTACTATTCAATATCTGAGAAGTAACGAATTTCAAACTATCGAATGTTTTTTTATTTAGAGTTATGGAGATTGTTATTATAACACCATTCGAAACCCGAAAGCACCGGACTTCCGTTTCATCCTGGTATGGGACTCATCAGCAGTATTCGAACCAAGGACCTTCGGTCTTGCGCGCAAAAGTCTAACCTCTGGACCCCTGAACGGTGTTTGCGCTCAAGACCGAAGGTCCTAGGTTCGAATTCTGCGAGTGGCAGGAATCGTTGATGCTCACTGTCATTGATGAGTTCCATATTAGAACGAAAAGGCTGTCTTTCGGTGCTTCCAAGTTTCTTATGGTAGTCTAACAATGATTGACTCATGATTTCAGTAATGTCTGATCTTTGTTGTTGACTAAGCTCCACTGATCACTCTGTAATGTTTCTGCTAGTTTCAAAAACTCCACATTCTACTTTAAGGTAAATGGTTGAATGAAGTCAGTAGAAAGCTGTAGACGTGCACCGTTTGGTGACTTCAGGTTTTAACTTTTTAAATTGTAAACAACGTGACATTAAGACCGCGAAAATTAATTTTAACTTTCGACAGGAACAGCTTTTTCTTTGAATATTTATCCATATCATTTCTGGCAAATAAATCATTTAAAACTACTTGTTTACATTGACAAGATGAACTAGAAGATACAGGTTGATGTACTTCATAGTTAATAATGGTGGAGTTCCGTTCTCTCAGCTGCATAGTTTGATTGTGAAGCTTTTTCGGCCAACATCATTAGAACAAACTTCTACTTCAGTTGCACATTTTCTCCCTCCATTTCAAAATTATCTAGTTAGTCATTCATTTTGTATGAATGAGAACTTGAAACTTTGTGGATGATTGGTGAATGTTCCTTACAGCCAATTCATAATTTTCCCATTGGTTCCAAAATACCGGTGACTATCAGTTTGTTACGTCTGCACGTAAACACGTCAACTTGATATGCTTGAACTATTACGAGTTTATCTAGTCGGAAAACGAGAGCGAGGATCGAAGATCCGGTGAAACGACATGCTACTCAAATCCGATTATCCCAACCCCCATATTGAGTAAAAATAAGAAAACGTGATATGAAGTAGAACATGTATTCTACAAGCATTCAGAAAGTACAAGGTCCGAATCAATAAGAGAATCAGCAACCCGGACTAGGGATCCGGGACCGGGTCCTAGTCGTGGTCGTGGTCATAAAACGTTTCAGATAATGCGTATTTATACATTTTGGTCGAATAGGAAACAGCATCGACGTCTGTGGTATTGACAGTTAAGACGACCAATAGGAAGTAACATTTGAAGTGATATTGATTGTCAGGATGACCAATAAGAGACAACATTGAAGTATTTGACTTTGACAGTTAAAACGACCATAATTTTGACCAATAGAAATGGACCGATAGGATTCGACCAATAATTCTCATAGGATATTGGATATATATCCTAACTCCTCCCTCTGAAGAAATTGAAGCGACACACGACGGTTTATTTGGATCTGGACTGTTGTTTGCTGCTGTCAAGGAGGATATTTCTGGAACGGAGATGAGGACCAGTCTTGCGTACTTCTGAGCGGGTTGGCTTCTTCTTATATGCTTGATGGGACATCTGCTAATGTTAGCTGTTTGAACTAATCTAACAGACTGATTTTAGATCGGCTATCGGATTGAGCTGAAATGAGGTGGACTGGATGTGGCAGGGGGTACAGCTACTCTGATTAGTTGACAGATACAATATACAACGTCAAATTGACTTTATCCACCATAGTCGTGTCACGATGCGGCTTGTTATCCAGCAACATTTTCATTAGTTCAGCTGCTGCTCGAGTCATAATTCAAGTCTCAAAGGATCAGTGTGATCCCATCCCCGTCGCCAACACTTGTTACACCTGCACGTACACACGTCAACTTGATATAGTGAACTATAATACGAGTTTACCTAGTCGGAAAACGAGAGCGACGATCGAGGATCCGGTGACACGACGTGCTACTCACAGTTTCAAGTTTTTTATGTAAATAATTCCTACATAGTTTAGTGCACTGATTGGAACGACAATTAATCAGTGATATTATTTTTTAACAAATTACACGAAATCATAGTATGCATTTTGAGTGTATTACTTGGAAAATAAAATCCTTAGTCACACATTACCTGACTTGTCCAGATATTATTTTTACCTAGAAAGCAATCTTTAGCATATGGTTGATGCATTGACACCGATGAATAATTGCATGAGGATGAGGAATGTGTTGACCGGAGTGTATCTTCCACAGGATATTGAATAATTGAATAGACTGGATCGAATAAATCACTTTGTGATTCAAATTGTCTGTATGATGATAAACAACAGCGTGTATTGGAATTTGAATATGACTGCGCTACACTTTTTGTATCAGTCCAAATAGGATGATAATTGTGGTTAAGTTTAACTTTTCTACTTGGTTCTTTCCAACTATTAGCTTTTTGTTTAATGTACAATCTGAAAATTAAAACAAATCAAAAGTGTAATGTATACTTTCGGTGAATTCAATTTTTGCATTACGGGGTTGTGAAGATTGTTAAGTTACACATTTTTGAGACCATGAATCGATCAATGTTAGACCACTATTAGAAACCTGGAAGAAGCACTGCACGGCCGTTTCTTCCACGTATGGCACTCTTCAGCAGTGCGCATCCACCACTCCTGCACCCCACAGGATTCGAACCCAGGACCTTCGGTATTGGAGGCGAATGCCCTAACTGTTAGACCACTGAGCCGGTATCTAACGGTGTTAATGTCTAACTTGATCAAATTCACGGAGTTGCGCAACCTCATACACAGTGTTCGGTAGACATTGCCTACACCCAAACAGGTTGAACTTCACTGGTCACATCTTTCCACTAGAACTCGAAGAAGATTCCTCATGAAGCTAGTCACTAGTGAGCACAGGTAATTTGTATTACGGGGTTGTTGTGAAGATACTTAAGTTACACATTTTTGAAACCATGAATCGATCAATGTTAGACCAATTTTTATCTCAACCTTGACATTAGTTCAATGTAGCGTTAAAAGTGTAATTATTAGAGACTGAAATAATGGGGTAAATCGAGTGATAGATATTTCATTCCATTTTTCCCATAAATAAACTTTAATAAAACAATAACATAACAGAATATCATGTTAGGTTAATTTTTTTGACTTTATTCAAGTCTTGTTGAATAGCTGAGTAGTAACTGCAAAGATACTTCACATTCTCATCAGCAGGATTTGGAATAAAGAACATGTACTGACAGACTGGATAGCAGGACACGTTATAAAGATTCCAAAGAAAGGTGATCTCAGCAAATGTGAAGATGCATCACTCTACTATCACTATCAGGGGAAGTCTCAACAGAATGTTGATAAGCAGAATGATGAACTCCATAGATGCTCAACTTAAAAATCAACAATCTGGATTCCGTAAGCATCGATCGTGTAGCGATCAATTTGTAACTTTACCAGTCATTGTGGAACAATCAGCTAAATTCAATTCACCACTATGAGAAAGCATCTGACAGTGTGGACCGGACAACAGTATGGAGGCTTCTTCGACACCACGGCGTGTCTGAGAAGATAGTCAACTTCAATCGGAATTCTTATGATGGATTAAACTGCGAAATCGTTCATGGAGGATAACTGACGCACTCGTTTTAAGTGAAGACTGGTGTCAGACAGGGTTGCTTACCGTCACAAATTTGATTAACAACAGTCGAATTACTCAGGTATACTCCACCTCACTCAGGTGTCATATGGTCGAAAAATGAAAATTTCGCTTTTGCAGTAAAATCATAACCCGACATGCGACAAACGGTAATAAGAGTTATTTTGGGGCAGAGTTTTGGAGGTTTGTGCTTTCACACATTTGAAATCATCAGTCAATCACTGATAGACCAGCACCATTAGAAACCTGGAAGAAGCACTGAATGACGGCCGTTCCGTCCTGGTATGGGACTCATCAGCAGTGCGCATCCACGACTCCTGCTCCTCGCAGGATTCGAACCCGGGACCTTCGGCATTGTGAAGAACGCCTTACCATCGGACCACTATGCCAGCATCGAACGGTGTTAATGTCTAACTCTGATTGATCTAGGGTTTTTTGCGCCACCTCACCCATTTGTCTTTGGTAGTTAGTGCCTACTGCACCCGACAGGGTTGAACTCCATTGGTCACATCTTCTCATTACTGGAACTCTGAGAATTTCCTGACGAAGCTATTCACTAGTGAGCACATGTTACGATATTTTCGGGCAATGTTTTGGAGGTTCGGTGTTTTTACACATTTGAAATCATCAAATGATTTAACTCATAATGTTCAGTTGTTTTTAGGGGAAACAATAAACTTTTAAGTAGTCAAAGCAATTAAAATCCAGTCATTATTTAAAACATTACATTGTAACGCATTCGATATCTTACTCTAACAACTTGTAGTTTCAAAACAGTGGTTCCCTTTGATAAATTTGAACAGAGAAATGAGAAGACATATTTTGTGAGATAGTACCATTTCGTACTTTGGGAAGTCCTCTCGGACCTGTTTTAGCAAACATTTTTACGGGAATGATAGAAAGGCAAGTGAGTCACTTCATCGATGGTATTACACTTTACAAACGATATGTCGACGATATTCTTGTCATATTACCACATTCTACAGATATTCATGAAATCAATGATTTATTTAATGCGATTCACCCGAATCTGAAAGTCACTTATGAGGAAGAAAAGAATAATGAACTAGCTTTCCTCAATATCCTGCTCCATCGCCGTCCAGACGGATCAATCAGACGAAAAGTACACCGCAAACACACCTGGTCGGGACAGTACCTCCACTTCACTAGTTTCTGCCCCATACAATATAAACGTTCTGTTGTCAAAACTTTATTCGCTCGAGCAAGCAGAATCTGCACTGCTGATACATTGAACGACGAATTCAAACTTATTACTGAGACACTTAAATCAAACGGATATCTCGAAACGTTTATTGGTCATCAGAACACAACGACGACGAAGCTGATAGCAACTGATGTGAACAAGAAACCAGTGTACCTACAGTAGTTACCTTTCAAGGGTGATTATTGCATGAAAATTACAACCAAACAGACTGCAGCTGCAATAAAAAAGACCTTCAATGCAGCTAATCTGACGCTTATCACAACAACTCAATCGATCTCAGTTACTCCAATCAAGTCTCCAAGACCGATTCAGTCCAAATCCCACTGTATTTACCAATTCACATGTAACTGTGGAGAAAGTTACTTAGGTAGGACAGATCGCCAATTGGAAGACAGGATAGGAGAATATATTCCAAAATGGTTAATCAAATCCATGATTCATCAACCTAGCCCATCATCTCAAAATCGATCAAGAAACCCAGCCTCATCCATTGCAAAACATCTAATGATGAGTGGTCATCAAATTCACCCAAAATCAGCCTTTAGAATTGTGACATGTCATTAAAATCCACACACACTGAAACTACTTGAAGCTATCTTGATTGGTCGGAAAAGTCCAACTTCATGTGTTCAAAAACAACTGTATGTTGACCTTTGTTTACCATGGTGGTTCTAGTGAGTGAATGTCATGCTAAATAAGAAATTTTGACCTTATCTTCAAAACTGTATTTACACAAATAACATGTTGCTTGTATGTGACTGACGAGAAAGCACGAAATGTTACTATCTCACAAAATATGTCTTCTCATTTCTCTGTTCAAACTTCTAGTTTCAATTTTATCTCCAGTTGGTATCTATTGATTTCTTTATCAAATGCGTGTGTGTGCTTACCGAATCGTCAACTGACCTTTTTCTCTTGTCCTTTCCTCTGCCAGATAACCTCATACGCTGCTCCACAGATACCTTCATCACATACGGTACCTCCTGGCTAAACGCCAACGAACCAGAGACTGAAGTTACAACATCTCCGCACCAAAATGTATACATGAAGTTTTGGCAATAATCATACAACAAGTCTCCTTAATTATTCATTAAATATATTTTAATATTCCATTTTGTATTACAAAAATTAAATTTTTAAATTGAAAAATCCCGCCATTCAATATTCAATTTAGTAATCATAATTAAGCAAAATTAAATTATTGTTCATTGTTACATTATTTTATAAAATTAAAATTGAAATGATTCATAGATTTAAATTATGCATGTATGTTTGTATTGTTTATGACATTTTTTTTGAAAAATTAGTTTGTTTTAATTTACTAATGCGCTATTTTAGTGAATTGAACATTGAACAAAGTCTAGGACAATATGTTAATTTAAACAAGAAAAATTGATTACATTTGTATAATTTAAGAGGAGTTTTAGAAATATTTAGAAAGATTAGAGCCATAAAATATTTACTTGATCTAATTAGGATTTATCAATTAATTTGTATAGTGTGACACAGTTTGTTATTGTACACAATAGTGTCGGTCACAACGTTGTATAATGGCTGTGCATGTTTTTTATTGGAAAGAAAGACAATTTACCTTAAAATGTTGCCTGGGTTCATTTTATGTACTGGAACTTAAGAAGCGGTTGTAAATGTCTCATTTACATAACTCATTAGATGTAAAAAGAAAGTACTCAATTACTTACTTACGCCTGTTACCCCAACCCAATGGAGCATAGGCCGACCACCAGTTTTTGCCAACCAACTCTGTCTTGGGCTTCCGTTTCCAGTTCTGTCCAATTTTTGTTCATTCCTCTCATGTCTTTCTCTATTTCTCGGCGTAATGTGTTCCTAAGCCTTCCTCTTTTCCTTTTGCCTTGAGGATTCCAAGTGAGGGCTTGTCTCGTGACGCAGTTACGTGCTTTTCGTAATGTGTATTCTATCCACTTCCACCACTTCTTCCTGATTTCCTCCTCCACTGGAATCTGGTTTGTTCTCTCCCACAGTAGGTTGTTGCTGATAGTGTCAGGCCAACGAATACGAAGTATTTTGCGTAGACAACTGTTAATAAACACTTGTATCTTGTGGATGATGCCTTTCGTAGTTCTCTAAGTTTCCGCTCCATACAGTAGAACTGTCTTGACATTTGTATTGAAAATCCTGATTTTGGTTTTGATTGAATGTTGTTTGGAGTTATGGATATTTTTCAATTGTAGAAATGCAGCCCTTGTTTTACCAATCCGCACCCTCACATCTGCATCGGATCCACTTTGATTGTCGATGATGCTGCCCAGATATGTAAAGGTGTTAACGTCCTCCAATGCATCTCCATCAATAGTGATTTGGTTAGCGCGTGTTATGTAGCATCGGAGAATTTTGCTTTTTCCTTTATATATGTTGAGACCTACTGCTGCAGAGGCTGCTTTGCCTCACACCGGTCTTCACCTCGAAAGAGTCTGTTAGCTGTCCATCGTGTACAATTTCGCAGTTGAATCCATCATAAGAATTCCGTATGATGTTAACTATCTTCTCAGGCACACCGTAGAATGTCGAAGAAGCTTCCACAGTGTTTTCCTATCCACGCTATCAAATGCTTTCTCATAGTCAATGAAGTTTATGTAGAATGGTGAGTTGCATTCAATTGATTGCTCCACAATGATTCTTAATGTTGCCATTTTGGTCAGATATAAATAAGGAAAGTAGTCAAACTGAATACAACAAACTGAAACGCAATCAATATCTAAAGTCACAATGAAACTGTACAATAAACAGTGAAAACCCAAACATGGTTTACATACATATTTAATTTCAAATTCTCTTTCTCATCCATGGAATTGTTTTGTATTGTTGATTTGCAGAGATTTTCATTTTGAATGGCATTGATTTTGGCTGAATTTTGATTAGGAAGAGAGATTTCATCATTGATAAGAATTGTATGTGTACAATTGTTGTTTTGATAAGTTGATAAGTTGACATTGTTGTTGAAAGTATTTTTCCAATGTAGTAATTTTCGTGTCATTTTGATAAACTAACAATTGAAAAGTAAAGAATGAATGAAGTTAGCTGATGAGTACAGTTAAAGTAAAATTTGAAGTTTAGTACAATATAAGATTGGCCTATTGTAGTCATTAAAAACTGTATGTTAGTCAGATCAAAAATGATACAATCGAGAAGTTTAATAATTTTATTGTACTATCCTGTTGAATTTACATTTATGTACTTACTTACTTGCTTACTCACTTACCTACTTACTTATTCACTTACTTATGCATTTAATTACCTGCTTACTTACTTACTTACCTACTTATGCACTTACTTACTTACTCACCCACTTACTTACTTACCTACTTACTTATGCACTTACTTACTTACTTACTTACTTACTCACTTACTTACTTACTTACTAACTTATTTGCTTACTTACTTACGTACTAATTTACGTCTGTTGCCCCCCAGAGGAGCATAGTTTGCTGACCAACATTCTCCAACCTACTTTGTTGTAAGCCCTCTTTTCTACTCCAGTACGACTGTTGTTCATTCTTCTCATATCTGTCTCCTTTTCTCGACGTAATGTGTTCTTTGTTGTTCCTCTTTTCTTTTGACCTTGATAATTCTAAGTGAAGGTTTGTTTTGTGACACGTTTGGGTCCGATAGAAGAGCGAGATCATCTATGATGTCTCGATCGTCCAGATGCATCCTGGCTGTCCACTGTATACCATGCTTCTCTCCAGACATTGACATCTTCATAATCCAGTTGCTCACCAGGAGAAAGAGTAAGGATGAAAGTAAGCAACCTTTTCTGGCAAGGGTTTTTACTTTGAATGAGGCTATCAGCTGTCCTCTATGAACGATTCTGAAGTTTAACCCATTGTTGTTGACTATTTACTCAGGCACATTGGAGTGCCGAAGAATTCTTCATAGTGTTGTTCTTTCCACGCTATTGAATGCTTTCTCATAGTCAATGAAGTTGATACAGAGTGGTGAATTTCATCCAACTGATTGCTCCACAATGATCACGTTTTCGTACTAGAACTCCGAGAATTTCCTCATGAAGCTAGTCACTAGTTAGCGCATTGCACAACTTTTAGGCATCAATACCTTAGGATGTCGGCCTACAAGTCCAGAGGTTAGGTGTTCAAGCACAACACCGAAGGTCCTGAGTTCGAATCCCGCAAATAGCTGTAATTGTGAATGCTCACTGCCACTTACGAGTCCAATACCAAGACGAAACGGCTTTTATTAGCAATCTAACTATGATTCATGAATAATTTCAAGATACAATGACTATATTCCAATCAATATTCATGAATAATCTAAACAGAATTTTCCATAGTTGTCAGGTATTCGTGACTAGACAGAAAAAAAATCGGCATAAAATTCTTTGTCTCTTTTTGTTTCCATTAAATGCATTCATCATCATTAATAATCAGTTTCTTTTTTCAAATTCAAAAGACAATTTGCATAAAACAAAAACTTATTATGATTGTCTGCTTAAATTTGACATGACATGTACACACAATGGTTTGTTGTAGAGTGAGTGAGTGAGTGAGTGATCAAGTATTTTGTGAGTATCAACACTCTCTATATATCTCTGTGTGTGTGTGTATGAGTGCGTGCATGTGCCTGTTCGAATATTCATGTTTCATAGAATTCTCTACTTTCATTTTCATCCCATCATCATACATGTTAACAACACTGTATCCAATACAAATGTGTAAGGTGATTGTCGAAAGGCGAAATATCTGGAGGACGTTAACACCTTTACATATGTTGGCAGCATTATCGACAATCAAGGTGGATCCGATGCAGATGTGAGGGCGCGGATTAGCAAAGAAAGGGCTGCATTTCTACAGTTGAAAAATATCTGCAACTCCAAACAAATAACAATCAACAGCAAAATCAGGATTTTCAATAAAAATGTCTAGACAGTTCTACTTTATGCAGCGGAAACTTGGAGAACTACCAAAGCCATCATCCAGAAGATACAAGTGTTTATTAACAGTTGTCTACACAAAATACTTTGGATTCGTTGGCCAGGCATGATCAGCAACAAGGTACTGTGGTAGAGGACAAACCAGATTCGAGATGAGGAGGGAATCAGGAAGAAGCGGTTTAAGTGGATAGGACACACATTACGAAAAGCACCTAACTGTATCACGAGACAAGCACTCACATGTAACCCTCAAAGCAAAAGGAAAGGAGGAATGTCAAAGAACACATTACTCCGAGAAATAGAGAAAGATATGATAGGAATGAACAAGCATTGGACAGAACTGGAGAGGAAAGTTCAGGACAGACAGAGTTGGTTGGAGAAAACCGGTGGGCGGCTTATGTTCCATTGGGGGTAACAGGCGTAAATACGTAAGTAAGTAAGATGAGTGACTAGCCTGACTGTTCGAAAGATGATACATTTCAAACTAAAATAATTGTATAAAAAAATTTTACAATTTTAAAACTTAACTCTAATTGTCAAAGGCTTTCAATGTCAATATCATGACAAGAGCTGATTCGATAAAATATACACTTGTGAATGACACAAAATTTGTGTGTTTACAGTCAGATAATTAATGAATTGAATATTGAATAATTCTGTTCAATTAACAATTTTTTTATCTTTGTTTAAACAGGTAAGAAAAAATAAAATGCTTATTCAAAGCTTGATTTATCACAGAGATCGATAATATATATATTCAAGGATATGCAAAAACTGACAGAGATCGATGAGGATGAAGAGAGGTGATTTGTAAAACCGCTAGTTATGATTCAAACAAGAAAAAAGTTTGAATGAATGTGTGTGGAAACATGTATGCATAAAGTTTAAACTTTGACAATTAAACTACTTTTGGCGGATTGGTACTTACTTACTTACTTAATGCCTGTTACCTGTTGGGGATGTTAGATCCCCAAAATTCGGTTGATAAATGCCCCGATTTCGGTTTTCACATTTGCCAGCATGGGCTGATCAGTTTACCTTGAGATTTCAATTCCCACCAGGAAAATCTATGGCTGTGATTGGCTGCTGTGTATTTTAGTGTGCTGTTTTCTTAACTGTCTCAAGGACGTTTCTATGATGTGTAAATAAACGAGAGTTGTATGCTTGATTGTATTGTGTTGTGATTGCTGGGTGTTTGTAGAATATACTTTCTACGCTTACAAAGCCTTCTTACTTTATTTAGGGATTCAAGGTAGCCTAACTGGACGCTGGTTCATTGTCTCGTTCGTGTTTATCGACTAAGGTAAACTCGTAATAGCCTCAAGCATACTTAGTGACGAACCCAATATGACCCCCCAATGGAGCATGGGCAGCTGACCAACATTTTCAGCCTACTCTTGCATCCGTCCCCTTCCTACTTCTGTTCAATTGTTATTCATTCGACTCATGTTGTGGTGTGAGCTACTTATAAGTAGTACATGACGTGAGTGTCAACGTAATGTCTGGCAGCAGAAGATGGGGGAAGATCAAGAAAGGAAGAGTTAGAACACAATGGAATTTGTATGAAACGCATGAATGGCGACAATGGATTGATGTTTTCCAACAGGAACAGTCCAGTTCGATATGATGAACTGATATTTTGCAAATGAACGATTTACGATATGGTTTTCTGATTTTACTGAGTAACTCTGTAATTTTCGTTAAATACCATCCGGATGTCCAACTTGTGTTCTCGTTCACTACAATAATGCCTCATTACATTGATTTGGCTTGCTTGCCTTCTCCACTTCACTTCACCCCGTTTGTATGGTTTCCACTCTCCTAGCTGCTTGAATGAATGCCTGGAATAAAGTCATCTGAAAACCGTTTTTAGCTTCCTATTATCGCCGTTACAGAAACGAGGTACGCTTATGTGTGGCATAACGGAATGGACGGGAAGATCTATTTTACTGCATACTCAAACATCCGCCAAAATAGGAATCAGATCGCTTACTTAGTTACTTACTTACGCCTGTTACTCCCAATAGAGCATATGCCGCCCACCAGTTTTCTCCAGCCAACCCTGTCCTGGGCTTCCCTTTCCAGTTTTTGTTCATTCTTCTCATGTCTTTCTCTGTTTCTCGGTGTAATGTGTTCCTTAGCCTTCCTCTTTTCCTTTTGACTTGAGGGTTCCATGAGACGCCTTGTCTTGTGACGCAGTTTGGTGCTTTTCGCAGTGTGTCCTATCCATTTCCACCTCTTCTTCATGATTTCCCCCGCCTGTAGAACTGTCGGGGCTACTGCCAGTCCCAATCCCGGATAAAGGAGGAGAGTTGGGCATAGGGTTGGCGAACCCATCTAACCAAAAAAATCTAACTTGCCGAAAAAACGCTAACCAGAAAAGATAAATTAATCAGATCGCTAGCCACCAAAAAATGTGAGTCCTATTTCGAATTCAACACAGCCACTAAATCTTGATTTTCTCACTGATTCATACAACACATCGTGATATCTTCTGGTTCTTATGCAGACTGTCAACTACATTGTCTCCGCTTTCCTCTTCCCGTTATCGAACATTTATTTTGACGTTAGATCGAGAAACAGGTAAAAAGAGTCCATCAAAATTGAACTTATCTTGACGCTGAGTTTAAATGACCGGAATTATTTTTCCTGGTTAGCGTTTTTTTTTCCAGCCAGTTAGTTTTCTACGGGGCGGAGACCCTAACCCCATCACGCTCGACCATCCTCCTCTTTTACCCAGGCTTGGCATCGGAAATAGTCCCCAGAGGGGGCTCCAAATGGAGTTTCAGAAATTTACAACGAATCATTCATGCAAATAATAAACTTACCCAAACAGTAAATGAAAATGATTTCGCCCTTGATAAATGTTGTTTTTCATTGAAATTAATAGTCGTTGTTAATGTGTTTTTAATTGAAATTTGATTACAGTGATGCTGTGCTGCATATGAATAGTTTGACTTGTTAGTGGATAAAATATTCCCGTTAGAAAGTTGACTGTGATGTAATGATGTCAACTGTTTCGGTCGTACAGAATTGGTTTGATTTTGATTGGATTCATAAGTTTCCGCATAGTTTGAATTTCCGCTGTTTGGTATTGAATATTTTCTGATAGATTAAAACAAAAAAAGATTGTACAAATTCAAAAGTCATTGAATCATATTTACGCACTTGAACTGTTATTACTATTCCTATCGAATATAAGTACCATTGTACTTTCTTTTGTCAATTAGGTCATTTCCTGATTACATTTACGAAAATAAATTGTGAATTAATGAGAAGTTCTGTTTTGTATACACCATCAGCAACAAATTACTGTGAGAGAAAACAAACCAGATTCCAGTGGAGGAGGAAATCAGGAAGAAGCGGTGGGAGTGGATAGGACATACACAACGAAAAGCACCTAACTGCCTCACGAGACAAGTCCTCACATGGAACCCTCAAGGTAAAAGGAAAAGAGGAAGGCCAATGAACACATTACGCTGAGGAATGGAGAAACACATGAGAGGAATGAACAAACATTGGACAGAACTAGAGAGGGAAGCCCAGGACAGACAGAGTTGGTTGGAGAAAACTGGTGGTTGGCCTATGTTCCATTGTGGGTAACAGGCGTAAGTAAGTAAGTAAGTAAGTAAGTAAGTAAGTAAGTAAGTAAGTAAGTAAGTAAGTCTGTTTTGTGCACCTAATCAGTTCGAATCACATGGCTGCGTTACAAGTGCCTGTGAGAATTTAACACACGAAACTAAGAGAGAACTAGTCATTACACTACAGGCTATTCAGTCAAGATGGAATTTTGATGTTTCGAGCGCATCAGTTTTATTTGCTCACGATGCATGCCTCTGTTTCACACTTCTAATGTGTGACACTTGGCGTTACACTCTGTCAAACATTTGTATATTTTGTCAAGTCGATAATTATGTGAAGTAATTTTTATCTAACAGTTTCCACTTAGTGCTTTTTCATCAACGTTTGCATTAATAAGTAACTTCGTGATTTAAAACAATTAGTCGCTTTTATAAATTTTGATAGAATGATGAGAAGACGTAATTTGATCTGAAAAAAGGTTGTGATGTATGCACGCACTATCCATTTGGAACAATGTGGTCACATTCACATACACTAGTCAAGGCATTTTCATATAAAAATTATTAAAAGGTCAAATAGATAAAATGATAATTTGCATTACGGGGTTGTGAAGATTGTTACGTTACACATTTTTGAAACCATGAATCGATCAATGTTAGACCACCATTAGAAACCTGGAAGCACTGGACGGCAGTTTCGTCCTGGTATGGGACTCCTCAGCGCAACTCCGTGGAATTGATCAAGTTAGACATTAACACCGTTTGACACCGGCTCAGTGGTCTAACGGTTAGGGCGTTCGTGCACAATACCGAAGGTCATGGGTTGGAATCCTGCAGGGTGCAGGAGTCGTGGATGCGCACTGCTACTGAGGAGTCCCATACCAGGACGAAACGGCCGTACCGCAGTGCTTCCAGGTTTCTAATGGTGGTCTAACATTGATCGATTCATGGTTTCCAAAAAAATGATAATTGTAAATGAAGGCGAGAGAGAAAATTAACGTAACATGAAAAGAATAAGAAAGGATAAGAAATTGTCACATTACCCCCTAGGCTTAAAAATTGTTTGATTCATGATATTTATAAGAATTTTCACGATAACTCTATCTACTTAGAAAGCAACTCAGTGTTTAGTAAATGTTATTGTCAATGCCTCGACTTAATCAACAAAAACACCTCAGTAACTTTAGAAGAGCACAACAACCCATGAGATTACATTCAGATTTAGAACAGATGATTTAAGTATTCAGTATTCATCCTACAGGAGAGTAAGTTTAAAGTTCACACTGTTCACTACTGTACAAGTAAGTAAGCAGAATAACTAATTGTCAACAAGAGGCAAGCACTTACAATGTGCCTAATTAGCATATACATTTATCAATAAGTCGTTTAACGCGATCAATCAATCAATCAATAAGTTGAATTCCAAATATTGAACGATATGAATACTGTTTTTTATTCATGACATTTTGACAATATTGAAATAAAAATTTAAGGCATTTTAAGTTTTAGAATTTATGTAATTTTTTTAAACAAATATTTTGAATTTTTAACGAATAACATACTGTTGAACATTTACGCGGTTGTTTTAAACAACCAGAGATAAGGTATTCTAATAATAGGTAAGACTATTTCACAGTTGTCAATAAACTTTGTCTACAACACTAAGAGAATTGATGTCTCCTGCGTTCCCAAGTGTGTCAGCTTCACTGTCCGTCAGTGTCAGGTGCACCGATTGGCTATTACGACTGTTTAACTTCTTGTGGGACTGAGGTTAACAATCAGTGTAAATAAAGCTAACATTAAGACAAGTGTTACATATTTATTTGTTGAAAAAGACATGGCGAATGCGGAAATGAATAGTAGAATCTCGAAATAAAAAAACATCACACCTATCTTGTTTGTAGATACTGCCTGATGAAAATAACAGAAGGCATATTGTTCAAATAACATTTTTATTCTCAGCTATTAATAAAATCAGTTTGCGATTAAAAAATAATTTTTTTGAAACCATGATTCTATCAATGTTAGACCACAATTAGAAACCTGGAAGCACTGGACGGCGTTTCGTCCTGGTATAGGACTCCTCAGCGCAACTCCGTGGAATTGATCAAGTTAGACATTAACACCGTCAAATAACGGCTCAGTGGTGTAAACGGTTAGGGCTTTCGCGAACAATACCGAAGGTCCTGGGTTCGAATCCTACAGGGTGCAGGAGTCGTGAATGCGTACTGCTACTGATGAGTCCCATACCAGGACGAAACGGCCGTACCGCAGTGCTTCCAGGTTTCTAATGGTGGTCTAACATTGATCGAGTCATGGTTTCAAAAATGTGTAACTTAACAATCTTCACAACCTCGTAATGTAAAAAATAATTAACCTTCGCAAGTATGTGTGCACACTAGCTATGATCTGTCTGGCGAACGGAGTTCATAATGAAATAATGCCTAGTCAATAACACCAATTAAATATGAAACACTGTGTGTGTCTGGTTAGATTCCAACTCATAGTCTTTAAGATCTGAAACTCATAAATGAGAGCCAATTGGTTGCGGATCCTCCGGTAGATGAATCATCTATCTTAAATCTCCTTGAGACTAACCAATTTTGATTACTTCTATTCACATATTTGATGAAATTTCCACAACCAAAACATTCAGCTCAGAGAATGAAACTCCACTACACTGATGGATGCTAACTCTAGATTTGCGTCACTGAGGGCGTTTTTCTTAGGCCGTTGGCCAGTATTCTCCAACTTACTCTGTTCTTCGCCTTCCTATCTGGCTCTGTTCAGTGGTTATTCATTCTTCTCATGTGTGTTTCATTTCTCCGCGTAGTGTGTTTTTTGGCTTTCCTTTTGTCCTTTGACCTTGAAGATTTCAAGTGAGGGCTTGTCTCATGACGTTGTCGAGTGCTTTGCTCCAATGTGTATCCTGTCCACTTGTAGTGAAGGAGAACACAGGTGAGGGCAACCGAATCGTATATGTCGCAAATTACAGAGTTACTCAGTAATACTCAGTAATATCGTAAACGGTTAATTTGCAAACCTTCAATCCATCATCAATCCATTGTTTGACATTTCACTATTCATGCGTTTCATACAAATTCCATTGTGCTCCCACTCTTCCTTTCTTGATCTTCCCCCATTTTCTGCTGCCAGACATTACGTTTTCACTGGTGTCATATACAATTTACAAGTATCGCGCACCACACACTTCTAGCCCGTTTTTCCAAGTTTCTTCATCTACCGGGATCGTGTTTGCTCTCTCTCTCTCTCTCTGTGTGTGTAATAGCTGGTTGTTGGTTTTTATCATAGGACATCGTTGAATTACCTTGAACAGTTTAAATTAACAAAATTTATAGTATCATGCATACTTGCAACGAGCCTTTTTCCGTCTCATTTAAAAAAAAACCTTATTAACTCTAGTTAATGTATACAAATATAGTAAACAGACAAATATTGATTTTATTTTCACTTAACAATCAATACTCAATTATGAATTGATCTATATATACATTAAGGTGAAATTCATATTTTTTACCTATTTGGATACAGATAATCCAGTTAACAGTTGTTTTTTTTCACTATAGTAATTGTGTAATTTAGATTGTTGATTTAACAAATTGTACTTACAGTTGGAAAATATCTGGGACTCCAAACAACTTTCAACCAAAACCAAAATCAGAATTGCCAATACAAATGTAAAGACAGTTCTACTGTATGGAGCGGAAACTTGGAGAACTACCAAAGCCATCATCCACAAGATACAAGTATTTATGAACAGTTGTCTACGCAAAATACTTCGGATTCGTTAAACCAGACACTATCAGCAACAACGTACTGTGGGTAAGAACAAACCAGATTCGAGTGGAGGAGGAAATCAGGAAGAAGCAGTGGAAGTGGATAGGACACACACTACGAAAAGCACCTAACTGCTTGACGAGTCCAGCCCTCACTTGGAATCCTCAAGGCAAAGAGGAAGGCCGAGGAACACACTACGCAGAGAAATAGAGAAAGATATGAGAGGAATGAACAAACATTGGACAGAACTGGAAAGAGAAGCCCAGGACAGACAGAGTTGGTTGGCGGAAACTGGTGGTCGGCCTATGCTCCATTGGGTTGGGGTAACAGGCGTAAGTAAGTAAGTAAGTATTTACAATACTTAACGAACATGATATGTTTCTGTCATTTATTTTACAGGATAACATTTCTACAAATGAATAATGATACCTGTAACTTCAAACAACTATCAAACAACAATAAATTCGAAAAATTTTCAATACAAATGTCAAGACAATTCTTCCAAATAGAGTGGAAACATGGAGAACTATGAAAGCCATCAAATGGACAGCCAGGATGCAGATGGACGATCTGGACTTCGCAGATGACCCGGCTCTTCTATCTCACACGCAATAACAAATGCAAGAGAAGACGACTAGTTTAGCAGCAGCAGGTCTCAACATACATAAAGGGAAAAGTAAAATTGTCCTATGCAGCACAACGTGCGCCAACCAAATCACTCTTGAT